AATCGAGTTGTATACGCTGTTTAGAGTTTAGTTTATTTGTAAAATATTTTGTAGTTATATTAGTTAACTCTGTATGTGCTGCACTTCCTAAACATACAGGTCTCATTGCATCATTACTGATAACACAGCGATAGACAACACACTAAAGTTGTTGCTTGCTCTTACTGCCTAACACCGTAAAACAAAATTTAACCGTCATCTTTACGCAATCTTTTCTTTAGAACAGACATTATTAATAAATTATCATATCTGAAACAGAAGCACACTAAAGGGTTAATTTTTTTTTAAAATATTTTGCCCTAAAAATAACACTGCTAAAGGCAATGGCAAATTACTTAAAAGTTCACTTTACAAATCTTCAAGTACATGTTAGCTGACACTCTAACAATCTCCACACTTGTGTCATTTACATAATTTTTTAGAACAGAGATAAAATAAACTCGCCACTTCAAGAAATCAGCAGCACCTGTGCAGATGCAAATTATACGTAACGTAAAATCTTAAGGACATGGACAATTTGAAGCCACGTGCAAAATCACGTGATAATCCGTTCAGGGGTTTACGAGATGTTTGTAAAAGTGTGAGGGCACAAGTTTTGAAACGTACTATAGTTTTGAATATCTTGAAGTGTAAAAGTTTGTGTTCTGGACTGAAATGCAGGCCATATTGTGCACTGATTTTCCCCCTCAAATTCTGCCCACGCTAAGACTAGCTCGTGTGTTCCATTGACACCTTCAAGAATACATTCACAAAGTCGAAGATTGTCTTAAATAACTGAAATCTTATCCGCTAGCGTCACGCGGTGTCTGGAATGCCACCACAGCTGCTGTAAAATGTGAAACCCAACAAGGAGATAAACGAATAAAGTATATAGTAGAAAATTGACATTTTATTAACATCATTTTATTAAAGTAAAGTAAAGGACCCTTTTCCCCGCCTTTAGGCTTATCAGGCCTATGGTGGTAGACCTTTATTATATATATATATATTATGGGGGCCAAGTTAGCGCAGTCGATAAGCGCCCCGCTTTCAAATCCAGCTGAGACTCGCTATAGCCCACGGCTGGTGTTCGATTCCGGCTGTTCCCGGGGTTCACCCAGCCTCTAGTTAATGGGTACTAGAGTTAACAATCTGGGGTAAATGGAGAAACGTCGCTGTAGCTACGGAGTTGCGTACGGGCGGCGACACAGGCGGACCGGTTCTTATCAGCTGTCCGTACTGGTGGCAGAGCACTTATGGCTTATAACTGTATGCAATGACGCTGGTTCACATCTCCCGACTTTACCTTTACCTTTTTACCTTTATTTTATAGTCGAATCGGGACTAGTGGGTGTTATTGCATAGGTCAACCCCATGTAGGATGAGATTTTTAATTATTTTAAAGCCCCACCCTGGTTGTTGCCGTGGGCTCTAATATAACCTAACGGTTAAACGGGGTTTCCCTGACCTCTCCATGGGTGATCCTTTTCCACATGGTGGCACTTTGTTTCACCGGGTGTTTATAGCTGTGTATGTTGTACTTGTGGGGTAAAATTTACTTACTTACTACTAGTGGGTGATGTAGTCAACAACCTCGCCAGCCGCCTTCTCATTCCAGAAACTTACCTGGTACCCATTTAAGGCTTGGAATGTGAGCCAAGTTAATTTTTGAAAGTATCTGGATGCGTTTGAATTTGAACCCACGACCTTCGGATCCACAGTCACTACACCACGGCAGCTCACGTAGTAGGTTGCTGAGAATTGTCAGTTCATTATTATCTGAATTTCTGTCTGTAGTTATTTAGTCATGTGACGAGAAGGAGAAAACTGGAGTACATCGTGACGTTAGGAAAGTTGGAGGGGAGGAGAGGCAGGGTGAGATGCTGGAAAGTTTGACATCATGGCATCGAGGCTAATCTGTGTCAAAGTTTATTGAAAATACACGAGACAGAAGGGTGTGGATAGACATGATTTTTAACGCCACACGGCATAGTCTTTAAGAAGAAGATGAAATATTTGTTATTTGCCCTAATCGCTGAAGTTAGTCTACTCTTTGAGAGTCAAGTTCGAAACTGGAACTAACAAACTAAAAATAAATAAATAAAACAGGAAAAACTAAACAATATCAAGAGACAATAGATAAAATGGTTCAGGCATGTGTCGAGACTAACACCAGATAGTGCCCAAGAGAGAGTCCTGTCATTTAAACATAATAAAAGCAGATCTGGAGGTCGACCAGGGAGGCCGTGGATAGATGGAATATGCGAGGCCGTAAATACCCATATCTACGAAGCAAATACCTTAAGAATGAAATGCAATGCAGGACTAGAGCAGGAGGAGAAGGAGGTGAAGAATAAGAAGTGGTAGTAGTAGTAGTAGTAGTAGTAGTAGTAGTAGTAGTAGTAGTAGTAGTAGTAGTAGTAGTAGTAGTAGTAGTAGTAGTAGTAGTAGTAGTAGTAGTAGTAGTAGTAGTAGTAGTAGTAGTAGTAGTAGTAGTAGTAGTAGTAGTAGTTATCCAAAAATATGCGTTCGCAGTAAATGCATAAGACAGTTTCTAGAGGCGCCAAAGCCAACGGTCGCCACCAGAAATGTAGTTTGTTGTTGATGAAAGTAGTCAGTCACGATAAGGTAGCCACACACGCACACACACGCAAGCAAAATAATTACACAAGGCACCGGTTCTCATCCTGTGGGTTGCGACCCCTATGGGGTCTAACGACCTTTTCACAGGGGTCGCCTAAGACCATCGGAAAACACGTATTCACTGAAGTTATGAAGTAGCAACGAAAATAATTTTATGGTTGAGATCACTACAACTGAGGAACTGTATTAAAGTGTCGCGGCACTAAGAAGGTTGAGAGCCACTGACATTAGGTATCTCGTCAGTTCACGCGTAAATCGGTCACCTGTCTTACTGAATACCAAACACACAAATCGCTGCACAAACGAAGGGCTTTCCATCTCAGAAAAACAGCTCATATTATTGCACCAGTAGACTTTCACCCATATGTGGAAACTGCATTAGCAAAGCCCTGTCAGAAGCCTGTCCTCTATATTCGGCTGTAAGTCAAACCGTGCTCAAGACTTGTCTACATCTCACTCTTCACGGTTATCGCAGAACGAGATTCCCAAAGTGAAGCCTGGGGCAGACTTAGAATCGACGTTTTCTTCGAAGTCGGGCTGCGTCTGTCTGAATGACAAGGTGGCACCAACAGTCTGCACATAAATAAACAAGATCTTTAAAACGAAAGTACACGCAAAACTCAACGTCTGCAAGTGGACGAACAGCCAGGACTTTCCACTGGAGTTAACAGCTGGTCAACGCTAAGAAAAAAAAAGCAGAAGTAAAGATCTCTTTTCCACGCCTTTTGGGTGTATTGGGTATATAAGGCTAGACATACATAGACCAAACGGAACTTGGCGGGTGATAAAGTCAGCAGCACACTGATCGCCTTTACTTCCCAGGACTGGACCCGGTACCCACTCAAAACTGGGTCGATCTAGGAGCCAAGGTCATTTCTGAAAAAAGTCCAGCCCCACCCCCACCCCCCCCCCCACCCCCACTTTAGGAACCGAACCTACGACCTTCTGATTGGCAGGCGAGCCTCTTGCCGCTAGATCACGGCGGCTTCCATAAAAAGAAAAAGCCAAAAAAAAAAATTCTTTTTATGTTAGGAACGAAAGTCACACTTCTTAACGTTAGAATGAAGGTCATGCTTCTCAAATGAGAAACGAATACTGTGCCTTTTTTTATGTCACTCCACCCAAAAACTATGTCCCGTCCCTTTTCTTCAAGTTCATTGTTGAAAACAGAACCGTCAGTAATTAACCAAGCATTTGTCTACGTCGTGAGCGAGTGCTTTCGGAAATTCATTCAACCTTAACTCTTGTGCATACCGAACTTTGAAGCGAGCTTCTAAAATTAAGGTACCATCAGATGGTGAAACACATTGTTCACAAACCATCTTTCAGACAGAAAACCTAGACCCTATCTAGTCTACTAGATAGATCAAGATAAATATGTGAACTCACAAGCACTCATACAAACGATTTCGCTGAAGCATAAACACGAATGATGACAGCAATTGTTTCTCTTCTACAGGGCGGTTTCACCTTGTCTGTATCAGCTTCCTGGGCTTGTCAGTCTGGCCAATCGACAGGTAATATTGTGTAAATTCTCTATGCAACGTTTACACATTTTTATGAATTGCTTCGGGGGTAAGTCTTAGTGCATGTAAGCCCAATTGAAGTGGTGCGCACATTGAGATGAGATATGTAAACCTAGCCCAAGAAGGGGGAGACCTTTCCTGAAGAAAAGGATGAAGATTAAATCGAATGAATTCAAAAGGAGTGAATACATAAGAGAAATATCTGGGCAACAATTAGTATCAACAGTTATAAGGCAGAAAAGAAGGCGCTATATTCGACACCTTCTGAAAAGAGAGAAAAAGAGAATCATCAAACAGTTACTGAAATGGGAAATTCCCTCTCTTCTCTCTTCTCTTATCAACATCATGGCACACGCGTAGTAACCCTTAAGTACGTCAAGTCTGAGTACGAAGAAGCTCAACACAGTGCACAGTCTCTGTAGCACCGTCGAGGATCCTGAAATACTTTGGGTAGATTTTTAACTCCAAATTTTGCCCGGGCAGCGCAGTTAGGCTACTTTGTTCAAATTCCAACTGCCAAGTGTGTTTTTTTTTTTTTTTTTACGTGAACACGGTTGTCCGATCTCACTACCCAGAGACCAGGGGGGAATTGCCAGAAGTCCAAGTCCACGTGAAAAAAATCCCAGCCCTTACTGGGGATTAAACCCGAAACCTCTAGCACTCAAGGCGGACACCATGCCTCGAGACCACGCACTCCCCACTGAGGGATTGAAGAAACCAGAAAGTCCAAGAAAAACCCTTAGGTGCACGTCGATGAAAGAAGCCAAAGGTGCGGAACTGTATTCTGTCCATGATATAGAAGTGATTGTACCGGACAGAACGGAACTGAAAGATAGACTGCCTGCCCTATACGGTATTCAATGGCACAAAGGGGCAAATAATAAAATCTAACATAAAAACTCAAGAAGACATCAAATTATCTTTTCCTTACCGTTCTCGGGCCAATAGCATCAGAATATTTGCTGCGCCCCTGTGAAGCGGTCGCTGCTTCCCGAGGCGCCGCGACACACAGTTTGGGAATCACTGGACTAAACTACACTGGATGTTTGATGTTGGGGTCAACATTACACTGGTTGTCTTTACTTGGAAGGCTGTTTCCTTGCACCTTTGTCAACCTGAGTCGACCTCCCAGGAGCTTAAGTCATTGATACAAAAGCCACCAGGATGCAGAATGAACCCAAAGCATTCGAGCTGAGATAAGAACCATCTGGCCATTGTTCACAACACACGAAGAAACCATCTGGCCATTGTTCACAACACACGAAGAAACCATCTGGCCATTGTTCACAACACACGAAGAAACCATCTGGCCATTGTTCACAACACACGAAGAAACAATTTGGCCATAGTTCACAACACACGAAGAAACCATCTGGCCATTGTTCACAACACACAAAGAAACAATTTGGCCATAGTTCACAACACACGAAGAAACCATCTGGCCATTGTTCATAACACACGAAGAAACCACCTGGCCATAGTTCATAACACATCAAGGAACCATCTGGCTAAAGTTCATAACACATCAAGGAACCATCGGGCCATTGTTCATAAAACATCAAGGAACCATCCGGCCATTGTTCATATCACATCAAGGAACCATCTGGCCATGGTTCATAATACATCAAGGAACCATCTGGCCATGGTTTATATCACATCAAGGAACCATCTGGTCATGGTTTATATCACATCACGGAACCATCTGGCCATGGTTTATATCACATCAAGGAACCATCTGGCCATGGTTCATAGCACATCAAGGAACCATCTGGCCATGGTTCATAAAACATCAAGGAACCATAGGGCCATTGTTCATAAAACATCAAGGAACCATCTGGCCATTGTTAATAAAACATCAAGGAACCAACTGGCCATTGTTCATAACACATCAAGGAACTATCTGACCATAGTTCATAACACATCAAGGAACCATCTGGCTAAAGTTCATAACACATCAAGGAACCATCGGGCCATTGTTCATAAAACATCAAGGAACCATCCGGCCATTGTTCATAACACATCAAGGAACCATCTGGCCATGGTTCATAATACATCAAGGAACCATCTGGCCATGGTTTATATCACATCAAGGAACCATCTGGTCATGGTTTATATCACATCACGGAACCATCTGGCCATGGTTTATATCACATCAAGGAACCATCTGGCCATGGTTCATAGCACATCAAGGAACCATCTGGCCATGGTTCATAAAACATCAAGGAACCATAGGGCCATTGTTCATAAAACATCAAGGAACCATCTGGCCATTGTTAATAAAACATCAAGGAACCAACTGGCCATTGTTCATAACACATCAAGGAACTATCTGACCATTGTTCATAACACATCAAGGAACCATCTGGCCATTGTTCATAGCACATCAAGGAACCATCTGGCCATTGTTCATAAAACATCAAGGAACCATCTGGCCATTGTTCATAACACATCAAGGAACTATCTGACCATTGTTCATAACACATCAAGGAACCATCTGGCCATTGTTCATAGCACATCAAGGAACCATCTGACCATTGTTCATAACACATCAAGGAACCATCGGGCCATTGTTCATAACACATCAAGGGACCATCGGGCCATTGTTCATAACACATCAAGGAACCATCGGGCCATTGTTCATAACACATCAACGGACCATCTTTTTTTTTTTTTATGAAGCGAAATAGAATAATCTTATCTGCGCCATTAAAAAAAATAATCTCAGCTTTTGCATACCAGAAAAAAAATTGAATAACCTCAGCAGCTGCCCCCCCAAAAAAAAAAAAAATAGAATGATCTCAACTGTTGCATATTAAAAAATGATCTCAGACAATATATACAGAAAAATGAAAGAATCTTAGATGTAATATACAGAGATATAGGATACTCTAGGTTATGTCTCAGAATGGGAAATCGAGCAATCTCACTTGTTACGTACAGAGAAAGTTGTTATACATAGGGACATTGAACAATATCAGTTGTTATTTACAGGGACATAAAACAATATCAGTTGTTATTTACAGGGACATATAACAATATCAGTTGTTATTTACAGGGATATAGAACAATATCAGTTGTTATTTACAGGGATATAGAACAATATCAGTTGTTATTTACAGGGATATAGAACAATATCAGTTGTTATTTACAGGGATATAGCACAATATCAGTTGTTATTTACAGGGACATAGCACAATATCAGTTGTTATTTACAGGGACATAGAACAATATCAGTTGTTATTTACAGGGATATAGCACAATATCAGTTGTTATTTACAGGGATATATAACAGTATCAATTGTTATTTACAGGGATATAGAACAATATCAGTTGTTATTTACAGGGACATAGAACAATATCAGTTGTTATTTACAGGGATATAGAACAATATCAGTTGTTATTTACAGGGACATAGAACAATATCAGTTGTTATTTACAGGGACATAGAACAATATCAGTTGTTATTTACAAGGGATATAGCACAATATCAGTTGTTATTTACAGGGATATATAACAATATCAGTTGTTATTTACAGGGATATAGAACAATATCAGTTGTTATTTACAGGGACATAGAACAATATCAGTTGTTATTTACAGGGACATAGAACAATATCAGTTGTTATTTACAGGGATATAGAACAATATCAGTTGCTATTTACAGGGACATAGAACAATATCAGTTGTTATTTACAGGGATATAGAACAATATCAGTTGCTATTTACAGGGATATAGAACAGTCTAAATTGTTAGGTACAGGGCTTGGAACTATATCTGTTCTTACTCTTGTTATATAAAGAGAAATTAAAAATTCAAGTTGCCACATTGAGAGAAAAAGAACAATCTGAATTACTACATACAGACATAGAACAACCTGAGTTTCTAACTGCTCGGGGAAATAGAACAATTTCAGTTGCTGCACAGAGAAACCAACAAAGTTGTTTTATTATAGAGAAAGAGAATAGTTAGGCTACTACGTGCAGACAATGGAACAAAATTTACTACATAGAAATTCCTCCGAAGTCGGAGTACATCTGCCGGAGAGGCGGGGAACGAGTACTGCAAACATATAAGCCAGTAAAACGGATGTACACGCAAAACTCAGCTCAAGGTAGAAGCCAAAAGTCCATTTTGGACGAACAACCGTGACTTACCGCCGGAATTCACAGCCGGTGAACAAGAAGAAGAAGAAGAAGAACTACATAGAAAGTAATAGAACAATCGCAGCTGTTGTTTAGACAGAAACAGATGTACGGCAGGGGCTGAGTGTGAAAGGTGTCGGAAGTAATCTATTGGTAGTGAGGTAATTTTGGCGAGGTGTGAAAGTGAGATAAGAGATAACAGGGATGAAATTGCCTGGCAAGGGGTAACTGATAAATACGGGCAGCCAAGGCAGGAGGAGATAATGTCATCGTTTGCACTGATGTAGCCCTGTGGAGCATGGGAGCGATAGGTGATTGTATCATCTTTGGCCGATTGGTGGCTCAGGTGCGTTCGGCTATTGACCTAATTATTCGAACTGACGTTATTGCCTGGTATGTTTTTCTTTCCTGCCCAGGTGGGGTCTAGGTGCCCCCGTGGGGTAGAAGGCAAGGGAAGTCGCGAGAGGATAGCGGAGAAGGTGTATAGAAAAATTGTAGATAACATTCAGTTGAGACGGTGATTATCTATAAATTCAATAAGTAAATCAGGCAAATCTTCTTGGGCGTTCCGAATCCCCATTTTGTGTGTCTGTGTGTGAGGGGGAAAGGGTAGGGGCGGGATGGTGGGGGGCGAGGGGCGGGGGGGGGGGTAGACCCACCCACTACCATTTTAAAACGAAGCATGTCGTAAAGGGCTACACATAAGAAATTATTCCTCCGAAGTCAAGACGCATCTGCTGGAGATGTGAGGAATTAACAGTCTGCAGACAGCTACGCAAGATCTGTAAATCGAATGTGTACGTACAATTTAAGCTCTGGAACAAGACTACAGAAGAGACTTTACAATAGAACATCCGGGAGGAAGGAGAGGGGAAGATCGAAAAAGAAAAAGAGATGGAAAAATGGTGTAGATGAAACCTGTAAAACCCGATGAATAAATCCATCACCGAAGCCGCCCAAAAGGCGCAAGATAAATGCATAAAACCACGAATTATGGCTACACTATGATATCAGTGAAATGACAAAAGAAGAAGAAGGAACAAGACTAATGTCTAAAGGTGACGAACAACCTGAGCTTTCCACCAGAGTTCACAGCTAATTGAAAGATGAGAAGAGGAGAACACTCAGGCAAATTAATTAATTTCTTGATTTCTTGAAGCTTCCGCGATTCGTCAGCTGCGCCCGGAACTCTGTACACAGATAGATATGGTTCTGACATTACCGCTGCCTTGGCAAAACAGTCAGTCATGTTTAATCGATGCTGAATTTGTACTTCAGTTATAAAGGATTCACTTATCTGATTCATTTATGTAATTGTTACTGTAGTATGCACCTGACAAGATACAATGAAATATACTATGCAATAAATTGCGCAATCTAATTGTTTGAGTCTTCTTTGTTCAAATTAATTAGTTATTAAGCCAATGAACCATATATTAGAATGCGCATATTTCTTACGTATCTTTTATCTTCACAGATACTGCTCCATTCTCTAGCCTGACTATAGTTGACCATATCCTGCCATCCCCGCGATGGACAACATTTAACCATCTTTCTTCTCTAACTGGACACAGTGTATTGACCAACCATTCCCAGACCTCATTTTACACAGAGGAATTGTCTCAATCCGGAAACGTGGTCAGCAAGGCCGCTAGTCGTGATAGTCTGAATAGCCGCAGTAGTAGCAGCAGCAGCAGTAATAGCAGCAGCAGTAGTAGCAGCTCTCTAGACATCATGTACAAAATGCTGCACATAAATAGCTCAAGACATGTTACGAATGAGGTGGGCACGCATGGAAAGTATTCACCTGAAACTGCAAAGAACATAAATCCTATTGCCAGTGAACAGAATAGTGGAAGAACACATACCACGTCTTCAAATACGAAGGTCTTGGCGGAAACACAGGGAATCTCCAGTAGAAATATGCATCGCGCTGCAGCTTCAGTTGTTGATGTTGGTAACTCAGATGTTGATGTTGACCGTTCCAGTAGCCTTGGTCAGATTGCGGATCCACCTGTGGTTAGGATGCGTGGAAGGCGAATGGAAGTGGCTGTTCGTGTCACCTGTACTGAAAATTACTATGGACATAGGTAGGTATATCTTTTGTGTATTGTTCTATGCAAGGTTGTTACGCATATGTGGGTGTTTTCTGTCTGAAGAACTTGTCTGTGTACCGTATGTATGTATTTTTTTGCATTGCATTGAGTTCTTTATGTCGTTTTTGTTGTTGCTGTTTGTATCGGACATATTGTCACAGTTTTTCGTACCACGGTGGACTACTTACTTGTCTGCTCAGCTCTGGGATCGACCCAGATGAACATTGATAGAGAAACAAGCGCAATTATTGTAGACAGACAGAGACAGGCAGGCAAATGATATAGGGGCAGGCAGGCAGACAGACAGACAGGTAGATATATATTAGACAGACATAATTTCACTGTACTACAACAACAACTACTACTACTACTACTGCTACTACTATTGCTACTACTACTACTTCTACTACTACTACTACTACTACTACTACTACTACTACTACTACTACTACTACTACTACTACTACTACTACTACTACTACTACTACTACTACTGCTACTACTATTGCTACTACTACTACTACTACTACTACTACTACTACTACTACTACTACTACTACTACTACTACTACTACTACTACTACTACTACTACTACTACTACTACTACTACTACTACTACTACTACTACTACTACTACTACTACTACTACTACTACTACTACTACTACTACTACTACTACTACTACTACTACTACTACTACTACTACTACTACTACTACTACTACTACTACTACTACTACTACTACTACTACTACTACTACTTACTACTACTGCTGCTGCTGAGGCTGTTGCTTCTTCTTCTTCTTCTTCTTCTTTTTCTTCTTCTTCTTCTTCTTCTTCTTCTTCTTCTTCTTCTTCTTCTTCTTCTTCTTCTTCTTCTTCTTCTTCTTCTTCTTCTTCTTCTTCTTCTTCTTCTTCTTCTTCTTCTTCATCTTCATCATCATCTTCTTTAGCCCTCTTATGAATTTCAGCGTCAGGTTTTGAAGAGACCTCAGGTGTAGATCTTGTTATGTGCTGCGTAGAGGTTGGTATTCGCTGCCTTAGATATTCCGTCTATCCATCGCTTACACGGTCGGCCTCTGATTCTGCTTCCATTGTGTCTGAGTGAAAGGGTCTCTGTGGTGCACTGTCCGGTGGTCGTCTCGACAAATGTCTGAACAACTGATCTTTGTCTCTTGGTGTAGATTATTACAAGTTCTCTCTCATCGTGTTTCCTGATATCGTCGTTTCTGACACTGTCTTGATTTGTTGTAGACATTTCCTTTCTGTTTAGAATTCCCCTATTTAATTCGCTTGTAACACCCCAGTTTGGCACTGGTAACACAATTTTTTTTTTTTTAAGAGAAGAAGAAAAAAAATGCTGTATTGAATTGTGCTATTTTAGTGTCAGTTCTTACATGTTTGTTCTACAGTACTGGTGAAATCTGTCCAGTGATTTAATTGGCAAAGGGTTAAGAATTGGGCAAGCAGACAAACAGACAGACAGACAGACAGACAGACAGACAGACAGACAGACAGACAGACAGACAGACAGACAGACAGACAGACAGACAGACAGACAGACAGACAGACAGACAGACAGACAGACAGACAGACAGACAGACAGACAGACAGACAGACAGACAGACAGACAGACAGACAGACAGACAGACAGACAGACAGACAGACAGACAGACAGACAGACAGACAGACAGACAGACAGATGTTTAACTGAACACAATGCGCATGCTCCTAGTATTTTGTCCACATAAATAAACAGACGGAAACTCCTGAGATTGTAGAAACATTGTATATCTTTTTTTTTTTTTTTAAACATACAATGTTTTGATTGGTTTGTTGAAAAGTATTCTATCCATGTTGGCCTAAACTGTTGTCTGCCAATCCTGCACGCAATCCTTCGTCTCTACAAACGACCCCTTATTCACTGCTGCATACTCTTCTTTTCACAAAACCTGTGCAGTTTGCTTTCATGTCTCCAATTTTCCCGCATGAAAGACTTTTAATTAAAGGCAGCTAGTATGTCTATTTTTCCGCAGTTGTCCGTCTTCTGTGATTAAATATTAGATTTATTTTGTCTATCAGCTTCAATTTTCATCCTTTTATCTTCATCCTTAACTTAAAATAATTTCTCGTTCTGATCCTTATCACTTTTTCACTAGGCTTATTACAATATAGCCTTAAAACCTGAATTTTAGGCAAACTGACCAGAACCTGGGGCATTTGCCACCTTGAGCCTTCACACATTGAAAAATCTGCGTCCCCGTTTAAATAGTGCCAAGCTACCCCACCTCCAATCATGCGATGACGTAACCTTTTTTTTTTTTTCGTTTAGGCAATTCATCTGTTTTTACCCAAAGAAGTTATCAATTTTGTGTTACAATTGTTCGTTTGTTTGTTGTTGTTGTTGTTGTTGTTGTTGTTGTTGTTGTTGTTGTTGTTGTTGTTGTTGTTGTTCGAAAGTCACATCATTGTCAGATTATTTGATGCGATGACTAACTACTGGATGTTTTGCCTGTACCATGTTTTGATAGCAACCCGCATTTTTGCCCAAATAGACAGCCATTCTTTAATTTCAGTACATGGAACAGTCCCATCATCTTCTTTTTTCTTCGTTGCGTATCCTTCACAGGATGTTGCAGAGCCAACTCCAGCAGTTTTTTTTTTTTTTTTTTTTTTTTTTTTTTTTTGCTGCTTGTTTTTTCACTGGGCAATATTCCGTTCAGTAGTTTGCCATTGCTTACTGAATTGTCGGCAATCGATACCACTGTCGAAACCAATGCAAGTCTGTCTGCTGCCACATCGCCCGCAGCTGGGATCGAACCCGGAGCTCCGGAATGAAGTCGGTGGGTCTAATAAAAGGTAGATGTAATTGTCGAATCTAGGCTCTAAAATTAAAACTAGTTACATGTCCAGTTTGGAGCCGCCGTGGTGGAGCGGCTAAATGCTCGCCGATCGGAAGGTCGTCGGTTCTAGTTCTGACAGAGCCGGACTTCTTTTCAGAACTGACCTCGGCTCCCAGATCGACCCAACATTGAGAGGGTGTCAGGTATAGTTATGGGAAGTAAAGACGACCCGGCGTGATGTTGACCACGTCAATCACTGAGCGCCAATTGGTTTCTAAGATCATCCACAACAGAGTAGATCCCTTTTCATTCACAAGTTTGTTGTGTTTGTTGGGCTGGTCGACTTTCCTGAAGGTTACAGGAGTGTCCCGCTCTATTGTTTGCTTTCATTCCGAGAACGACAATGCCTGTGACGTAGGTTGCTGCACTCTCCAGGGGAGCTGTGTAAGGGCCAGTTTCTCCATGTTTTTGGAGTGCTAAAAGCGCTGGCGTTCTTAAATATACAACACGCAATATCAGCGACATTGCGGAACACCCTCGTAATCCTGTGCCAAGGTGACAGGTACAGAAACTACTAATCAGAAGTGAGCTAGTGTGTATATGGGCGAGGCGTGGGGAGATTACCGTTGCGAGTACCCATAGGTCAAGTACTATCTGCTATCACGCGTGAAGGGGTGGGAAAGAGTTCTTTACTTTACTTTAGATGTCCAGTCAATTATTGTAAGAAACAACATAATTACGAAAGCCTAAACTCGTTTCAGATGTTCCAAGTTCTGTCGACCTCGAGATGACCTGCTGGGTCACTATCGGTGTACACAGACTGGTCAGCAGGTCTGTCTGGATGGATGGCGTGGTGTCGACTGTACAGAAGGTACTATTACTATAGTGCGTTTACAAATTCGTTGCTGATGTTCAAAAAAAAAAATATTTCTGAAGAGGAAATAAAAAGAGGAAATTATATATTATTTTTTACTTCATTCTCAATGTTATGCAATTTCTTTAACCCTTATAACAAGTAATAAGAGTGTATTTTGTTGTTGTTGTTGTTGTTGTTGCTTTTTTCGAGGTATGGAAATCCATCCGAAATCAATGCTTAGATCAGTGTCGTGCGGAAATGAAGTTTTACGAAGGTAGGGGTGTCGGTCCCACGCTTTAACCTATAAGTTGTAGGACCAGTGTGTCTCTTTTTCTGTTCTCTACCCGTCGACCTTTCCGGATTTTGAGACCCTGCTGGTAGCTACGCTACTGCCGGCACAGCTCTTAGGGTCATTGACAAACACAGGCTCCCCCACCACGGCAAGGTGGAGACAGCTTCGGAAAAATATAACTGTATACACAAGGGAGTTGAATGGTCGAAGACCAAGAGGCAGACCAAGAAGACGATGAAAAGATAACGTCCAGACAGACCTGCAAACACTTGGTGTCACCAACTGAAACGAGAAGACCAGCCAGAGAGATGAGTGGTTGGCAGTTGAAAATCAAAAAAAGATAGTCTAACGGCGCTGCCCGGGCAAACTTTTGAGCTGCTACAGAGCTTGTGCACTGTGCTGAGCTTCTTCGGAATCAGACTTGAGTTAGAAGAAGAACGAAGCCCTTATACTACCCGTGTGTCATGATGTTGATCCGTTGTTCAAACTTCAAGCTTCATTCTTCACGAACTACATTAAGCTGGTCAGGGTGCCGTCTTAGCGTAATGATTTTAGGCGCAGGGTCAACTAAGATCATTTGGCTCACTATAGCACAGTGGCTCTCAAACTTCCTAATGCCGCGACCCTTTGATACAATTCCCTCGTGTTGTGGCGACCCCCAAACAATTATTTTTTTCCCTAACTTCAATGAATATGTGTTCTCCGGTAGTCTTGGACGACCCTGTAAAAGGGTCATTCGACCCAAAGAAAAGGGTCGCGGCCTGCAAGTTGAGAACCACTGCTATAGCAGAATATAACACTATTGACTGGAAACATGGAAAGGTGCCAACACCAGCACACCACCAAAAACAGTAACAACAACATAAGACAGAAGGATGTGGACAGATATGATGACTAATGCCACACGACATCAACAACGAGAAGCAACCATGAAGACGAAATTTCTTCCTTGCCAACAATCGCTCTTGTGTTGCCTCAGTGCATGCATTCATCACACTTTGCTCGCTAATCTGTTGTGTTATCAGCATTCACAACCACGGAACCCGATACAATTCAGACATATACAAGCTCCGACTACAGCTCATTTGTCATTTGATAGATAACCAATGATAAACTATATCCGGCAACTTAAAATGTATTACAGCTATCACTCCCAGAGTTAAAGTAAAAATTCTGAGATCATGCATCTTTTCCTTGGCAGCTTATGGCTGTGAGTCGTGAACTCTTACTCAATCATGGAAGAAACAAAAATCGGAGTTTCTTAAGTAAAATAACGTGAGGTAAAGGACTCGTTTCCTTCAAGCGTACTGTGCATATAGGGCTAGACCTAAGTGTTATAGACCAGTCGGCACTTGGTGGGGAATGTGGTCAGCATCACATCAGCCGCCTTTACTTCCCAGGGCTGTACCTGGTACCCACTCAAGGCTGGGTTGATCTGAGAGCCTAGGTCATATCTGACAAAGAAAATCTGGCTCTGCTATGACTCAAACCCACGACCTTCCGATCCGCAGGCGAGCGGCTACCCGCTACACCACAGCGTTTCTCTTTTTGAATTAATATGCTACAATTCTTTCAAGAATACGTCTTTGCAGTTCGCATACTGTACAGAAAGTAAATATGCATGTATAATTATTGCCTCTTCGTGTTCTGTCTTTTAATACAAATGAGCAATGGTCGTTAAAAAAATCTCTTCTTATATAAACAAGCTAATTTGGTCTTCTTTATGTTTAAAAAAAAATATTAATGTATTACATAAATTTTAGCCTTTCATGTTTTAATACAAATTTACAATAATTTCACATTGTAAGAAAATGTGACAATTTTTACCTGTTGTAAGAAAATGTGACAATCTATACCTGTTGTAAGAAAATGTGATAATCCTCACCTATCGTAAGAAAATGTGACAATCCTCACCTATCGTAAGAAAATGAGACAATCTTTACTTGTTGTAAGAAAAAGTGACAATTGTTAATTGTTGTAAGAAAGAGTGACAATCTTTATCAGTTGTGAGAAAATGGGACAAATCTTTACCAGTTTTAAGAAAATGTGGCAAATCTTTACCGGTTGTAAGAAAATGTGACAAATCTTTACCGGTTGTAAGAAAGTGTGACAGTCTTTACCGGTTGTAAAAAAATGTGACAATCTTTACGTGTTGTAAGAAAATGTGACAATCTTTACCTGTTGTAAGAAAATGTGACAATCTTTACCTGTTGTAAGAAAATGTGACAGTCATTACATGTTTTTTTTTTTTTTTTTAAACATGTAATGACTTTAGAATGTCCTTTGCATGCAGCCACTTGCCTCCCCCTCTACCCCGCCCCCTCCCCACCCCCCTTTAAAAACGTTTATTTTTACACAAACGCTGTCCGTTTATTTTTCAACATAATTTCCACCAACATTGATGCATGTGTCCCAATGTTTTATCAGTCCCCCGTAAACCTGCTGTTGCTCAATAGTGTATTGAGCGATTTTTTTTTCCTTTGCTTGGAGCCTCATTTGCCTTTCTTTCTGTTATCTAATCCTCCACTTTTCCCTCCAGCCCTCTGCTCTGAACGTTGTGCACCCTCCCGCGGCACCTGCACCAGCCCTCACACGTGCTCCTGTAGGCAAGGATGGTACGGGGAACACTGTGACAAATGCAGAACCTATCCCGGGTGCAAACACGGGACCTGCCACCTACCAGGGCAGTGCGTTTGCCATAAGGGATGGGCTGGGCCATTGTGTGATGTTGGTAAGTGTTCTGTTTTGTTTTATCACCATGAAATTACTGTTTTATTTGCTGGCTGCCAGATTATTGTTTTGTTCGCTCAGTTCAAATTTGTGTTTTATTTACTCTATGTCAAGTTCGTGTTATCTTTGCTCACTGTCAAATTACTGTAACTGTTTTATTTTCATAGTGGTTTCGAATACTGCAAGCGTTGTGGGCAATTTGTTGCCCTAGTGGCATATGTATGGCTCTAGTATCTTCATCTTATCGCGTATGAGGAAGATTAAATGAAAACCTTAAAAATGGCGTTGCTCTTTTTTTTTTGGTGCATGTCAAAAGTGGGACGGCCATCTTTTAGTTAATTTTATTACGTCACCGTGTATGCCCCCCACGTGGTATCACGTGCTTAGCACTC